GCAGAGCCGCCGCAGGTTGAGAAGCCGCCGCTGACCCAGTCGCCGTCGAGGTCCCAGATCTCCGCCGCCATTTGCGTACAGACCGCCGCACGCAGGAGCAGCGGCAGAAGGAGCCGCCGCCGCGTGGAAGAGCCGCCGCCATCGATAGCAGATCCTGAACCGCCACCGTCCTCAGTCGCGCTGCTGGTTCGTGAAGGTCGCCGCCGCCGTCCTGTTTTGCCTTCGCCGAAAAAAAACAAAAGCAAAGGGGCTGTTTTTCTTGCTTTGCAGGTTCGGAGAAAAATAGGGAAAGGGATTTTGCAGGACCGAAGAAGAGAAAAAAAGTTGGGCCGTGTGAGTTTTTTGTTTTGGGCTGGCTATTTGTTTTGGACTGGTCTTAGTGGTGGACTTGACTTTCTGACGGAAAAAAATACCAAGATCTGAAATATTTGTACCGGGTATCTCGTCTAGTCGTTTGATATGGCAGAAGATGGGAAGTTCCGAATTGAGAAGTTCGATGGTACAGATTTCAGTTGGTGGAAGATGCAAATTGAAGATTTGCTGGTTCAGAAAGATTTGGACGTGGTATTGGGTGACAAGCCTGAAAAGATGTCGGATGCAGATTGGGCAGGTTTGGATCGGAAAGCAATGTCCGTGATCCGTCTCTCGTTGACCAAGAATGTTGCGTTCAACATTCTGAAGGAGAAGACAACGAAAGGAATTATGGAAGCACTGACTAACATGTACGAGAAGCCATTTGCAGCTAACAAAGTTTTTATGATCAGAGAGCTGGTGAACACAAGGATGAAAGAAGGCACTTCAGTTACCGAGCATATCAACAAGTTGAATTCGATCTTAGCCAGACTTTTGTCAGTGGGCATTAAGTTCGATGATGAAGTTCAAGCCTTACTATTGCTATCGTCTTTACCTGATAGTTGGTCCGGAACGGTTATAGCGGTTACCGGTTGAGTGGGACCTGATGGATTCACCTTTGATCAGATTCGAGATCTCGTTCTTGGCGAGGATGTCAGAAGAAAGAGTTCGGGGGAGTCATCTGGTGAATTGTTACATGTTGGCAGAGGTAGAAGAAATAGCAGAGGTAGTGGGAGCGGGAACAGACGAAGGAGTCAATCGAAGACTCGGGATAGCTCAGGTGTAACGTGCTGGAAGTGCAAGGAGGTGGGGCATTTTAGGATTCAATGTCCGAATGATAATAAAGTGAACATTGCTAAAGGCTCTGCGAGTGACGAGGAGGTCACTTTGACTTGCTGTGAGGAAAGCAATGTGGATTCTTAGGTCATGGATTCTGGTGCTTCATTTCATGCCACCCACAGCGGTGAAGCATTGCAGATTCTGGTTAATGGAGACTTTGGAAAGGTACGACTTGCGGACGATAGAGCTCTTGATGTGACGGGCATGGGTGACATAGTGCTGAAGACCCCAGTCGGTTTCTGGACTTTGAAGGATGTTAGAGTTGTTCCAGCCTTGAAGAAAAGTTTGATTTCTGTCTGGACGAACAGGGACATGAGGTGAAGTTCAGAGATGGGCAGTGGAAGGTCGTGAAGGGAAATCTTGTCATGGCCCGTGGAAAGAAGAGAGGTTCGTTGTATATGGTCGAGTTACCATCTGAGGGAGTGACCGCCCCAGTTCAGAAGCGAAACAAAGTCCGGTTCACAGAGTCTCGTGGGCAGAAAAAGGTTGTCTATGCAAGAGAGAAACTTAGAGCCACAGGTCAGACTCAGGATGAACGAGCGTGGAAAGGTTCAAGGGGACTAGTCAGAGGTATTTGTGGCAGTGGGAGCTCAAGAGGCGCTTCAGCCAAGTTGCCTAGAAGACAGTGGGTCAGGAGAACAAGTATTCCAGCTGTTGGAACATCTCCAGAAAATTTCTTGCTGAGTACGGAGAATGTTTGTTCTCAGAATGTTCCAAGATCCGGCAGTGTGCATCTGCAGTGGGAGCCGGTAGGGACCGAGGACGAGTCAGTGGCAGATTTAGCCATGACTGATGTGTTGGAGCTTGAGAGAGCTTCAACGGGCCTTTTAGTTGTCTGATGAGAGGGCCGCTGCAACAGGAGAGTTAAGGAAGATTACTCAATGTACAGGCGATCGTGGCGGATGGCAGTTGATGATTATCAAGCCTCCAAGTGGGAGAATGTTGGGCTTTGTGGAGGCTTGTTTGTCGGCCCGGCCAGTTGTGCGTAGCCCTAGCTATTTCCCTATATATAGAGGGCTTGTATTTGTAATCTTATGACCACAAGTGAAATAAGAAAATCCTCCTGTTGCAGCCGTGGACTAGGGAAACCGAACCACGTTAAATTCTTGTGTGTCGTTTGTGTTTCGTTCCTCCTTTGATTTTCGCAGATATTTGTGTGTGTTTTGTTTTAATTCCCAACAAGATTTACATCTTTTCAGCCATTCATGTTTTTTTGGGTGCGGATTAATCGACAAATATGTTCTTTTGATAACTTTGATTGTTTGAGCTATATATGTTTCAATAGTGCTTTCTCTCTCTCTCTCTCACCATGAGAGAAAAACTGAATATTTGGTTAATACTAAACTCATATGTATCTTTCACATGCATTTGAAATTATTAATACGACTTTACATAAAATGCAGATATTGGAGAAGAAAGTATCTCAAGTTTCATATATGATTTTACTACTAGCATTCCAAATTTAATGGTGAGGACTTCTACTGTATCATATATGTTTTTAGGCATGTTTG